TCTTCACATTCGATCGAGGAAAATCTTGTTTCGGCGAGAAGGAATTGTGCTAGTTGGAGAAAGAAGGAAAGCCAAAAAAGGCACAGAAGGACTTTTCACAAAGAAAGCAAAGCCAGCTTACTATAGCACAAATGAGCAAAAAAATAGATGTGCTGCGGCTTTAAAGCTTTATTTCATTTTCACATTGACCAGACTAACGGTTATCTGATTTGTTCTGGTCTGATAGTGAGTCCAATATTATCTAATTCTTGAAGAATGCTTTGCCGGAGCAATCATTTGCCCCTTTTCCGATTCATAGAAAAATCCAATGACAACACAACTGAAATATCGTGTTTGCTTTGTGAAAAGGCCTTAGCTCGACAGTCTGCTCTCGGCTTTCTTCTTTCTCAGAGAATTTGGTTTAAATTTTGAATCTCAGCTTGAATTTTGTGATCTCTGACAAAATTCAGCTTCTGTACAGGGTGCGGCGAAAGTTCTGTCCTTTTTAGAATTCTAATACTCTAATAGAAAATCCCCATAGGAGCGTCGCGTAGTCTAAGTTTACCCTCCAACAAAGGCTCATATCTCAGCCCCAGTACGTTTGTTTCTGCGCGCCTGGGTATCAAATTAAAGTAGAGGGGATGGGTGATTTTTTGAGATATAACACATAAGTTAGAATCCTATTTACGTGCCGTTTAAAGGGACTGGCGCAAAAGCGGCGCGGCTCGCTTTCGAAAGCGTGGATACGCTACCGTGCCCCACACAAAATTCCCCTTTTGCCATTCTTTTCATTTTTCGGGATTCCGATGGACTCGTGAATATTGTCCGGCTTCTATGCCGAGTCCCGCTAAGTTTTCTTCTCCCTTCGTAAAAATTATTATGTTCTTGTAGCACGTTTTCAAAGTCTCCCCTCTCCCCTCGTTCGTTCCCTACTTTTTATATTGTTCTGCCCATGTTTCTTGTTTAAATCTCTAAAATGGTTTTGTTTCGTTTCTCTCGGCTGCCTTCTACTCCATTGTCTTTGAATCTTATTCTATGTGCCGTATGAACTTAGCTTAACCAACTCTCTTTTAACCAAACACATTAAATCTACCAAATCAAATCGGCGCGATCCTCTTGGGTTTATTGCGATCCTCTAAAAAGTGTCCCCATATGGGGACACTTTTTGGGGATACTTGGGGGCGGTACTTCAAAAGTAGACTTGGGTTTTGTGTCTAATTATTTTAGAAAAAGGATTAGTCAGTGAAAAGGTATTGGGTAAGGTTAAATAGTTGCTAACTCATATTTTTCACATTAACGAGCGTTTAGAAAAAAATGATTGAAAAGTGGCAAAAAAGTCGAGTTTTCATTATTTTTCAAACATTTTGTTCTAAGCGCTGGTTAATCTGAAAAATATGTGTTATATCTCAAAAATTCACCCATCCTCTGCTTTAATTTTATACCCAAGTGCGCAGAACCAAACATACTGGTGTCGAGATATGAGCGCTTCTGATTGAAGCAGTGGCAACTCGTTATAACTTTCTTTTTCGTTAACCGATTTAGAAGATTTACACTCCATTTTGTTGCACTCATCGAGAGCAACAAAATGGTACTAAAATCATTTCAAGAGGTCAAAAACTAGAAAAGTGAGTTTTTTCCAACTTTCCTAGTTTTTTGACCTATTGAAATGGTATGTTAATCTTCTAAATCGGTTAACTACAAAGAAAGTTATAAGAGTTGCCGCAATGCCTCTTTGCTGAAATTGGGCCCTCCAAATTTCTATTTCCCAGTAAGTTATTCGATTAATTGGGGGGTGGGACAAAAGCGATCTTTTATTTGCGCACCCGACCCAAAAGCGCACCCCCAAAAGCGCACTCGACCCAAAAGCGCACCCGCCCAAAAGCGCACCTTTTCAAAAGCGCACCCGACCCAAAAGCGCACCCGTCCCAAAAGCGCACCTTTTCACTGTTGTTTTTTTGGCTTTTTGCAAATCAATACAAAACCAAAAATTCCAAATTTATTTTCCCATGATTATTAGACTAATGTATTTTGTTTCCGGTGCCAAAAATGAACTTCTAATTGTACTTTTGCTTCTTTATACCTTCAATAACAACCTAACCATTTAACAGTAAAACATTTAGCAGTAAAACAACGACATAAAACAGACAAAAGTAACAATAACACAACTTAAAAACATGGCAACATTACCGAGAAACAATATGAGGCAAGAGTTGAGATAAATGTTGAACATGAGACACATTATTTCTACCATTAAGTACAGCATGAAACCTAAGATTCTGACGATGAACAACACGATTAGTTTGAGGATACAACTGACCAAGCGAGAGATTTCGTCCATTGGCAAGTTTTAGCCTGTTGATAGCATTTGACATTTCTTTAAAAAGGCGACAAACAGTGAAGCTTGGATGTGGGTTCTTTGGGCCAATCTAAAAAACGAATAAAAAAGCTTGAATCAACAAAATACCTTTAGCAACGAGTTGAACGATTCATGTGTTGAATTCCCGAGTTGTTCTGATTGAAGCACACGGGAATAAACGCTCCATTTCTCCACATCAAACGTCGCAGGCTGGCGAAAGGCTCCATTTGGTCCGTGCTGACATTTTCCGACATAGTTCTTTTCAATAAAGGCGAAAAACTCTAAAACTAAAATAAAAACGAAAAAACAAAATTTTAGTAGTATAAGTGGTACAACTTACTTTTTACAGCCCGAAAATTTGTGCCAAGCGGTGGTGGTGAATTGTGAGCTGACAAGACAACAGCGTCAAAATAGTCGGGCACTTCTTGCGGTTCCACCAATGCGAGAGCCATCATTGACTGAAGATGTCCTTTGCCGAAAGGAGTTTGCACGAGAGAAGAAAGGCCACGTTTCTAAATTTCAACGTTAATTACAAAGGATAACACATATTTTAAACTTGCCTTAATATTTCGTAAAATATTTTGGTGAAAGTGAAACACACAATACTGATGAGCGACTCCGGCGCCATAAACCTGCTGATAACCTTGAAAAATCGCTCGCTCAAAGTCTACAAAGCAACATTAAACAAAGAAAATGCTGCACCTACCTGTCATTAGTTTTGTTGGTGCAGGAATATTTTCCGACAAAATGTAACGAAAGACTGCTTCGTAGCACTGGGCGGACTTTCCACTCAACAGAGCAAAAACACACGGTAAGAATAGGTGTTCTTTCTAAATTGATACACACATTAGTAAACTCCTTTTGCCACTTACTTGGATTCCAATGATGAACAGTTGAGCAAAGTCTGCCGGACACGAGTAAAATGTGCCATCGGCCGTCCAAGAACGATTCTATACATTCAATTAAACAGAGATTTCATAAAATAATCTTACCTTTCGTAATAGATCGAGTCCAACATTGTGCGCGTAGATTTTCACCGCTGCGTGATCACCCTGCTGGTGCTGCGCACATGTATCAACCCTTTCAAACAGTGCACCTAATGAAATAACTGTCTTTTACTAAGAAATCACAACCCACCATAAGTTGAGCAGTCAATCGGATGAGGCCACGTTGTTGTGGAGGCTCTCTTTGCCACCCGTTTTGCTACTTTCGCCAACGCTTTTTCATTCACAAACGGCTTTAAATGATCTTCTGCCTCTTTGATCACGCTTGTTTCGATGTGGCGAATCGGTGTTCCCATTTTTGCGTGATGTTTCACGACTTTCTTTAATTTACGCATCTAAAAGAGAAAGGATATTCGTCAAAAAAAAATGTTTACCTCTTTGGCGTAGTTGGTTGGCATATGATTATGCATACCTTCGCATTGTACCAAATTTGAATTCACCGTTAGCTTTGCAAGTATTCCACACTTTTTTACAAGGCATCTAAATCAAATTTTTAAACTTAAAACTATCTAAATAGTACCTGTAAATGGGTCCCTTTTTCACCGTCTCTTTGTGCTTGCGAAATTCGAAGCCCATAGCATCGTAGAAGATCTTTTTGTTTTTGTTGCTTCGAGGCGTATCGGTGAGCACCCTAGAAAAAGTGCTAGTGATTGTAAAAAGTGAACAAATGCAAGAAAAGTAAATTTAAACTGTTTAAAATCTTACCGCTTATGTGGATTTCCCGACATTGTGCTGAAGCTCTCAATTTGTCTGTTTTGCAACTGAAAACACAAAAGAGGAGTGGCTACTTTGTGCCAAATTTTTTGCGCAACTCGCCATAACTTTCTTCTAAGTGGGCTAGTCTTTATGATTTTGGCGTCATTTTGTAGAACTCAACAAGTGCAACAAAATGACACTAAAATCATAAAGATGAGCAAAATTTATGGCGAGTTGCGCAAAAATTTGGTTCAAAGTAGCCACATTGTAAAAAAATGAGCAAACGCGATTAAAACGTCAGAAACACTTGGAGAAAAAAATGGAAAAAAAAAATGGAATTTTGCTTTTGTATTGATTCGCGAAAAGCAAAAAAACCACAGTGAAAAGGTGCGCTTTTGGGTCGGGTGCGCTTTTGAAAAGGTGCGCTTTTGGGGGTGCGCTTTTGGGTCGGGTGCGCAAATAAAAGATCGCTTTTGTCCCACCCCCATTAATTGATAGAATCTTTTGTTTTTGTCATGTAAAAAAGGAAGTGTTTTTCTGTCCGTCACACGTGGTTTACTCGTCATCTGGTTTAAATTTCAGGGTGCGCTTTTTTTCTTAGATTGATAATATCATGCTGACGCCTTCAAAAAAATTAGAAAATTCATCGTCTACTTTTTTAAAAGTTAAAAAGCCGCTAAACCACGGCCCTTTTTTGCCTCGGCGGTCTATGGAAGGGAGTGGTTAGCGTTCCAAGAGGATGCCGGGTTCGATTCCCGTCGGCTCCAAACTTTTTTTTGCCTTAAATGTTTCCAGGCATGGGGTTGAAGTATGCAAATTTGAGTTATCGTTAGGCGGGTTTTTCGGCTGTTTGAACTCATATTTTTCTTTGCGACTGATTTAATTTTTTTTGTGCTTTTAACTTTCCATTTAAAGCAATTTAATTACAAACTTACAGCATCCTTTATCGAGTGGACAGCTTCTAAATGTTTCATGAATCTCGACAAGAACTTCAACAACACAAGAGGCGTCATTCGCTTGATCGGTTTGTTGATTTTCACTGAATATTTATTTCTTTTCGTCTAGGATTTCGTCGGGACCATCGACTTCGAGATCACCCGACTCAACAATAGTTGATGTAGAAATTGGGACTGCACACAAACAGGTTAGTTGAATTAGTTACTATTTTAAGTTTAAGATTAACTGGTACGAAGGCAGGGGGGCAGGGGCCACCTAAAATTTTCTCAAATGTAGTTTTCCTGTGGTAATTTATGGCGCTGATCACAAAAAAAAAGCATTTTTAGGTTATACTTTCAATTAAGAAGCATTTTCCCAAGTATTAATAACCGGTTACTTCCATTTACTAAATCTGTGTCGCATTTGCGCTGTCTGCTAGAAGCCGGAAGGTAGCGGGGGGCTTTGTGTGTTTGTTAAGCCTATCGACCTTCCAGCTTTGGCGACCGTCGCGCTCCGGGATGTTGCAGCCAGGTCACACGGACACCTTCTGCGCAGTAGAGGTGCCGAGCCAAAGTCGAGGTAAATATATGGCGCCTATGTAAAAATAGACGAAAAAAGTATAACTTAAAAATGTTTTTCCTGATCAGCGCCATCAATTACCCTAGAAAAACTACATTTGGGAAAATTTTAGGCATCCCCCCCAACTGCCTTAGTACCGATGAACTTTGTTGGTTTAGAGAAATTTGAATCAAACTCCTTCTCCAGAAATGCCTCGAGACAACTTCCAATACCAGCCGACAAGCGACAACACCCGCAGGTGGTTTCTGTATTATTTTCTCTTCAACTGCCTCTTTTTAGACATTTCGATGCTCAAGCCCCCTCGACAAATCATGTGCCCAATCCTGCTTCAATAGCGCCAATTGTTCAACAGTTAGTTGTTTTAGTTTTACAATTCAGCCTTTAATTTTTTAGATTAGCTGATCAAATGACCGGTGCTTTTGGCGAAATCTCTGATGCTTTTGAGCATCTTTCAAATTTGAAGGTGATGATCACAGTAGATGCACTTATGCGATTTTATTTTAAGATTACAGTGACAGAAGAAAGTCAACGCTTTGGTAGAGCCCCAATTGAACATAGGATCGCTCAGATTAAGGTAAAGTTTTGGTGGACTGGCAGTGTATTTATATTTGACATTTTACTGTTTTATGTTTTAGTCGTATACAAATGATTATTTGCGAGAACTTCTCGAGGGAGAAATACTCGGCAATCAACGACTGAATGAGAAAGTTCAACTGGTAACAAAAAGGTTTGCATCTTGGTTTACTTTATATATTGAAAGTTTTTAGAAATTTTGAGCTTGAGCGACGATTGGAGTTTGTGGAGACAAATATTGAGCGTGTACAGAAAGAAGCGATTGATAAGGTGGGGTTTCATTAATTAATTACTGTTTAACTATGTTTAATTAATTAAAGCAAAGCCACTAAGTTCATTAATTTAGACTACTTGCTTAAGGTCTATTAAGAGAGTTCAAAATAATTTATGTTAAGGCCGAGCAAGTGATTCGCACGTTGATTGCCCGTTTCAGTGCCCAAGAGACAAGTCTCATCACAGCTAGAGATACCGAAGCAAATAGTGCACGAGAGCTACGAAACACAAATCAAATCATGCAGGTTTGAACTTTACTTTTTAAGTTTTGATTCTTTTCCCATAGGTCACACTGACGACGTTAGAGGAAACAAAAGATCGGAACATGGCTGAGATTGCACAACTACAAAGGGTAAAACATTTTGGCAACTTTGTTAATTATGAATTGAATCTAGGACTATGCTCAAAAAGTGGAGAATCTCAATCAAGTCAGCATGCAAAATGAAGAACTAGACAAACAGCTGGAGAACACAAGACGAAGTGAGAATGGTAAACTTATAAAGCTAACTAGAAGATAGTTAGATTACTTGAGATTTGCAACGACGTTTCAATGAGCTAGAGCAAAACATGCGCCGTCTGCAGGATGAAAGCCGCAATTTGACACGAGATTTTAATCAATGTAAACAAGACAACACGTGAGTTTTTTTTGGCATACCTTAACTTTTTATTCAAGCCGACTCGAGCAACAAGCTACCAAAGACAAGGAGAAGCATCGACAAGAATTGGTAACGACTGGTTTAGGAACGTTTTAATTTATCTTTTCAGGAAATTCATCGAGATAACCTTCAGAAAAGTTGGGAGGAATTCAGGTTTCGGCTCGATAATGAACATCGACAAAAGGTTGATAAAGATTGTTTTTCAAAAACCTTTTTTCAGCTGTCAGAGTATGAGCGGGAAAGCAAAAATCTGCAAAGAGTTCTCGACAATACAAGAAGGGATCTTTCCTACGCTCAAGCAAAGGTATTCGGTTTTTGTAATGAAGCCTTTTTCCATTTTAGGTTCGTGAGCTCGAATTGAGTCGAGAAGATTTTGAGCATGCGGTAAGGGACGAATTACAAAGAACGATGATGGCCAAATACAGGGATATGGTCTTTGAGATTGCCCCAGAAAGACGTTTGTTAAATTTAGAAAGCTTCAAAGTCTACCTATATTTAGCAATTCCTCCACAAACTGTCTCGCTTCCAACTCGCTATTTTTCAAACTCCACCTCTAGGCCAGACCCATCGATGTCAAATAAAGAAAATGGTGCTAAATGTAAGTCGTTAAATTAGTATTTAATTTTCCTTTTTTTTTGCACGTCATGGCAGATTACCCCAATGTTAATGTTTGAAAAAAATTTTCACAATTCAGGTGATAATCCGGCAAATAAACATGAGCTCCTGAAGCAGGTTATCACAAAAGCTGTCAATAAAAGAAACGAGCGACGATCAGGGCTGGGCGAATGATCCGAGACGGTGATCGTTAGCTTTTACCATTCTCTTAAATGTGCATTCAATTTTGCTTTTTTTCCAGGATTACTGGTTAAATTTTTCTTTCAAATAGGTTCCACTCTATGTATAAACAAGTTGCTTATGTTGATACCAGCGGAAAACGCTGACTAACGTTCGCGTTTTTCACTGGGGAGGTCCACGTTTTCCGCGGAATCTAAGTGTCTAGTCCTTTTTTGCCAATAGCTGCGCACAGACGGACGGACGTCTCTTCTGCTTTATATATATTAGGTTGATGCAAAAGTCTTTTTCATTTTTTCGTACTTCTGTTAAAAAGTAACAAATTCACCAATTAATCTATAGTTTGCTCTATAAAAAAAGTGTTTTTTGTTCAATTTCCATCTTTTTAAATCAATTTCGGTTCACTTTCAAGCAAATTCGAGAGTGAAAAACGCCTTTTTCGTAAAAATCTATAAAAAACTCTACGGAAAAATTGGCTGAATGAATTTCTCTGAAATTTTGGCGAAATATCAAACTTTTTTTTCTCTATCTTTTATCTATTGACACGAAGATAGGTTTTCTTTAGCTAAGGTGTCTAAACCGCATCATCGAGTTAGCCCTTTTTGACTACCCGACTTCATACTCTCAAGAAAATCCAGGCATAAAATATTTTTAAACCCGTTTTAAAGTTATTTTGCAGAAAAATAATTGGTTTTTCTAATGAAATCAACCGTAGTTTAATTGGTGCATTTGTTGGCTTGAAACGGCAGACGAAAAAATAAAAAAAGACTTGCATCAACCTAATAGTAGATGATTATTTTGCTGGTTGATTGGGTGGCCAATCTCTTACAAATCTTTCATCGCTCTTGACTTTGATTTGCTCACTTTTCTCCTATCTTAACTGCCAAAAATTTTGATTTTACCTTTTGATTGTTTTTGAGATGATCATTTATTTTCTCGTGTTCCATATTTAGCATATCTACCTCATTGAAAGTGAAACTTTAACCCCTTGGGCTGATATTTGTATGTAGTTGACTTATCCTTTTATTACGATAAATTTGTCTTCCAGCTCTCTTGAAATCGCTCGCCAGAAATTTTTATGGTGTGTTTGTTGTGGAAGATGTTTCGAGAAGTGCTCCCGGAGGACACCTATTTTCCCCTCAAAGCTTGCGACCTGTTTTCTTTTTTGAATAGAGAAGGGAGTATGTTTGTGTGGGGATAAATGATTACATACGAGATATACAAAAAATGCGACGAAACGAGAATGAGGCGGTGATTTCCCGTAAAGGCTTCTTCCCCAAAAAAGGTCTCCTCCATTTCCCTCTTTCTTTTCCCAGAAAAGTTTGTTTTCCCCTATTTGCTTGTGTTCGTCGCTTTTCTTCTCGTTCTCTCGTGTAAATGTAAATGGGCTTACTGATTGAAGATTGAGAAGACGACCTTTTCTTTCTTTGATCTTTTTTCTCAACCAGTTCAAACACATGCCAAAAAAACAGCCTCTTGTAGACAACCGAATCACACAGAATCTTTTAGAAATTGCTTTCTCGACTTTGAAAATCTCTTGAAACCGCTTTTTTTTCGAGACTAACACCTCGTTTCGATTTTTCAACATAGGTAATCTTTTTTCATCTTGTTATGGTCGGCTGTTTGTGGTGTTTTGGAAAATGGGATGTTAAAATAATCCAAAGTCTACTGCCAGCATGAGTTATAAATTAGTTATCGAAAATATTATCCAACTTTCAGTCCAAAGAATTTTCCCAACCTGCGTTGTCTTCCGAGGTGTGAGAAACGGCGCCGCCGTACTTTTTTCCAAATACAATTCTCCGGAGTGTGCAGCGGTACTCCTGGAAAGGTGGACTTGATAATGACGGTAATCAGAACATTTTGTCCATAAAAGTTTTCTCGAACGTAAGAAATAGCGTATATTATGTTAAAGATGGCAAGCATGAGAACTAGGTAGTTGAATCTGGTTTTTTTTGAAACTAGAACAAGCAAATCTTTGGCATCAAAATCGTCATTTTCACCGTAATTGACAAAAAAATCTAATTACAAAAGTAAATTTGTGAATTCGCAACAGCGACTGTATGTCTTTTTGACCAAATTTCAGGTTAGACTTACTCAAGAGGCTGACCCAATGATCCATTTTTAAGGTTATTTTATAAATGCATTTTAGCAATAGCAATAATATGGTTGATTGACTGATCAAGCATGCTGTCTTTACAATAATTGGTTTCACTCAGCATCAAGGCTGTTCCTAGGACCACATTTTCAGGCCAAGGCCAAGCCAAAGCCAAGCCAATGAGCTAGCTAACTTAGCAGCTAACCGGAATCGAATGCAAGTAGGGATAATCAGGGACGGGGATTACGGGGAAATCATCAGATTTGAATTTATCGGGGTGAAAAATACGATTTTGACGATATTGATGTACGAAAATTTGTATGGATTGCCTAGAATTTGCCTAGAATTCTTGAAATGCTAATTGGCTTAACGAAAAAATCTAATTACAAAAAGTAAATTTGCGAATTCTCAACAGCGACTTTTTTTTGGCCTTTTTGACCAAATTTCAGGTTAGTCTTACTCAAGAGGTGGACGCAATGATCCATTTTTAAGGATATTATAGAGCTCTTTACAGTACAGTTACAGTATTACAGGCCATTTTCAATATTAATTTTAAAAAAAACACTCCTGTCTTAACTGCCAAAAATTTTGAATTTCTTAGAGCCGACTTGTAAATAATAGAACAAAATGTTCTTGAATTGGTGGATTCGTTTTTTAAGAAATTCCAGTCAAACTTTTTCCGAGAACTTTCTTTCCAATCTAATAGATTGTAAGCTGTTTATAACAAATTAATACTTGATTTCCAGACTGGTCTCTCATTGGCACCGGCAGTGTTAACGGTTATTGTTCTGATCGTCGGCTATATTGCAAACATATCATCGATTCTTACAGGTTCGTTTACGAAAATGGTATCATTGTTGCTGAATGAGAAATCATACTTTGAGGGGCAATGGGATGTGGAATTTTTTAGCCAAAAATACTAACAAATACTAACAAATACTAACAAATACTAAGGCATGTATCTCAGAAATTTGAGCATAGTGACGCCGGGCCGGCGAATCGATTGGAGCTATTCATTTCATTTTGAGTCTACCAGCTCGGGTTTTAATTGGTCTAAATAGACCTGCTTAACGAATCCGGGAAAAATTCTCAGCCAGTCTACCGGTTTGGTTTTTTACTACCCAAAACTCCTTCGAGCACGAAACCCAGTTCCTCCGCAAACCCTTATGGCTTCATTTTAATAGGCTTCATTTTGATACTAAACATGGCTAGATTCTGTTTTGCCATTCTTTAGATTTCCATCATTTCAGATAAAAAATTTTCTGGACTCGTTAAGCTTATCGAGTCCCGCTTTGCTTTTTGCTTTGCTTATTATTACTTAATTTTAGCGTCTTCCTGACTTATTTCACCAACACAATATCAAATAAAAGTTTATATACGATCTATGAAAAAAGAAACAACAGCGAAATTTTGTTGTCAATTTCAAAAATCGAGGTGAAAAATGCAAAGATACAAATGTGCAAAGATGGAAAAATACTTTAGAAGTAAACGTGAAAAATTTTATGAAGGTCAAAGTTATTAATTAATTAAATGAGTGAGTGAAGATGGGCGAATAGGTGAGTTGAAATTTCTGTTGCAAGATCTGTTTCTCTTCAAAAACCCCCGTTCTTTCTTTTTCATTCGAAGAAGAGACGGCGAAACTTCTCGAAGAAACCACCTCTGAAAATGTTCAAGTGTTTTTAAGCTTGCCAAGGATTTTGTAAGACCCAAAGCTTAATACTGTAACCAGGCAAAAGTAATAGACTCACGCTAAGTAACAAAAATATCTTTAATCGTGTCTTAATATCCGATATAACCCACCCCCAGAAAAAGAACCTGAAACCATCATCAGAAGGTGGGGCAAACTTTTGCACCACCGCATTGTACGTTGGTGGGGCAAACTTTTGCACGCTTTGTTGTTGATTCATCGAATATCCGCGCACAGTTTGCTCAAAGAGTTCCCTTGAGTTTTGCACCAAAATGGGGTAAAGCGAAGAGGGATGGCTTTCATATTCTTTACATCATCGGTGGTGATGTGTTGCTGATGATTTCCGCCGGATTGCAAGGCGTGCTCAATGGCGGCTCGTTCTGCAAAGTGGTTGATTGATTAAAGAAATACCACTAGGTTTTAGATACTATCCGCTATTTTTCATCTGAATGAGTTCCTCTAAACTTTCTAGGTTTTCTAGAGCGTTTGAAATTGAAAATACTGTAATTTCAAAGTTCAAAGTGTAGCTACAATGACCTATCCTTAGTCCTGCTTAAAAATTCTAGATTCTTACTGGACTCCAAACTCAACATACCCTGTCGATACTCATCCAAACAGCGCTTCAGATTGGCCAGTTTCGTTCGATCTCCGCCCGCTTTGATACATTTTTCTCTTCTTCAATCGACTTTTCCACATATTTCTCAAAAACATCGTTATAGGTCATAATCGCATTCTGCTTCAAGAAAACCGCGTTACGAATACTTGCATCCATCACAGTTTTCCGTTCATCTTTGTATTCTTTCACGATTTTCTCACACGATTCGATAATTTTCTGCTTTGTGATTCGAGCGTCTTCATTCGTTTGAATCGCATTCTTTATGTTCACATCTTCAACTGATTCGTTCGTTTTCACTTGCTTGAAGCGAATGTGCATGTGAGTAGACCATAAACAACCACAAACTGTACAACTTTGCCCACCCCGCATTGCACAACATTGTTGTAGCTGAGGTTCGGGGGAATCTCTCGGGATCAACGTTGTCCAATTGACAGTGATCATGACAAATCTGTTTGTAGATCGTTTGCAATTGTTCACTGTTCGGAATCGACTGCGTTTCGATGCATTTCGGACCCGTGCAGACGGTCATCGGATAGCTGAGTTCCTCGGTTTTGATTCCAATTTGTGGGATCAACAACTTCTGTTGCAAATCATTGATCGTCGCTTTCGTGTTTTCAATCTCGACTTTTCGATCATCATACACTTTGATATTTGTCTCAATCAATTCATTAATGTCAGCCAAGGGTTTAGCCAGTTGGAGAATGATTCCACGAGCTTGATTCACTGAGAGAGTCTTGTCAACAGAATGCGGTTTGCATCCAGCCGCATAGTCAAGGGAAGCGATGCGTCTCATCAGCCGATTTTGCCCAACTCGCTTCGAAATTTTTCATGTCATCTTCGCTAAACTCAACTCCATCGTGATAGGCACAAACGAATTTGAAAGCCTCGTTGTCCAAGCAGAAGATCTTGCTCGGATCAAGAGCCACTTGAATCCCGTGTTTTGCTTGAAGTTCATCGAGAAAAGCTCTTAAAGGGACGATTGTATCCCCTGGTTTGTAGAAAGTCCCACGGGCATTCGTGAAGAAAAACATGATATTCTTGGCGGCATCTTTGTGCAATTGAAGTAGCAACTCTCCAATGCAATATCTAAAGCTCAACGTCATCCGAGCGTCATTCGATTTGAACAATAGACAAATTGCATGTAAATTCTTGTAAGCTGCAATTGCATTCAGAATTTTCCTTGTATTCTCCTTGTCTTGTTCAATTCCACGAACATCTCCAATGCCAGGTGTATCAATGATATAAACATCATATTTCGGGTGTGGGAAGAGATAAGTTCGAGCGTCTTGTGTCGCGCTTTGTCCTTGTCCAAACACTTCATTCGTTGAGTTCCCAATGACAATTTGTCGTTGCTGATAATTCTCGTCGCACATCGTGAACATTGATGGAATGATACAGATCGGCTCTGGTGCTTCCAATGCATCGGCAATGTGATCAAAGCTCATATAGTTTGCAATGCCATTGATCCACGTCGATTTTCCGACTCCCGTTTCACCGAGTACAAGAATGTTGATCTCTTTTCGAGGCCCAGAGTATTGGTTGTTCTTTGATTGATGGAAGTGGGCAAGTCCGGCAAAACTGGCGGATTTCTCAAAGAGCTTGGCTTGCCTGAAATTAATTTTAATTGAAAAATTTGTGATGTGACAAAATTTATTGTTTTTATTCTTTACCTTGAGGTGTAGCATCAAATCGTTGAGGAATCGCCGATGAAGAGTTGGATATTTGTTGATGCATCGGTGGAGAGAGAGCAGTCAACACGGGCACTGGACGAGGATTTGCGATCTGAAAATTGATATGCAGATGACGATTATGAATAAATCAACCCGTTCTCTGTAAGGCGACCCCGAAGAAATTAAAAATCTACTGTAAACCATTGCAAAAAGATACATTTACATACAATTTGAGAGAACTAGGAATTATTTCTGATTAAGATCAAGTGATTTTTCAAAGATTTAAGAGTCACTAATTGAAATAGCATTACCCTAGTATTAAAAAGTACAGTAATCCTCGATTTCTTGAATGTTTTAATGCTTAGGTAAATAAATCTCCACTCACTTGCTCGAAATCCTCGTTCTCGGCATCCGACGAATCCGACGAGAGCAAAGCGCTGTTTTGCAAGTGAGGCATCGATCCGTAAAGCAGTTTGTTTTGCTTAAAACGATAATTTGACAAGTAAACAGTATTTAAAATTCAACCCAGAAAATCTCTTGGATGAGATAACCAAATGGAAAATGAAAGAAAGCATAGTAGTGGATGGTTTATTGACAAAATGAAATAGTTCGACAATGTTCTTGATTTTTATTTTGGAGAGCCGCCAAAAAATGACTTCACCCTCTTCTTCACGCCACTCACACCGGCAGAGACCCATCTGAAATTCATGATTTATTGGCAATTTTCTGGTATTCATATTTACGATATGTTCCTCTTGAATAGTGTAGATCAATTGACCTAAACAAGAAAATTAATAAGTCTTGATGCAAAAACATACCCAATCCATCAAAAGCTTTTGGTACTTTAAATTCGGCCTTGTTAGATACCTCATTCTTCGCAATGGCTGTTTCACGTTGTAAATTCGCTCCTGATCCAGCATGGCCAAATGAAATCTTAAAAAAAGCTAGTATAAATGGGGGCAGAGGGATCTGACCTCTTTTTTGATGTACTTAGCGCAAGTTCCGATGCACCAGGCGATAATTGGCTTCTTGACTTTAAGTTTGGAAATCATCTTGATCACGTCGTATTCATCAAGCTCTCCACTTTCACCAAGCAAAACGATGATTTTCACACTACAAATACATAGCAAAATTCTTACTTTTCATCAAGGATGTAACGTGCAACGGGTTCCTTGAAAGTCGATCCAGGATATCGATCGCCACCAATTGCGACTCCCTTCGTAAACGCCATCGGAATTGCGGCTAAGCTCTCAAGTTATAATGATCAACGTTATACCTGATGATATTGTTGAGTTCATTCGATAAACCTCCAGATCTTGTAAGGTAGGCAACGCTTCCGGGCTGGTACAACTTTGACGCCAAAATGTTGTCGATCATTCCACGCGTGTTTCCAATCTTGAAGCAGGCATCCAGGCTTGATGCCGCCAAGTGTCGTCATCTAAAAACAACTGTTTACTAAACATATGCTTTCAAAATAGTACCCTCTTTGTATCGGCGATCTTGATCAAATGACGAGTTAGTCGCTCAGGGACACCTTCGGCAATGATGGCAACAAGTTGTAGTTGAGGAATTTCTTCCAACGCTTCTTTAACGACTTCGTAAGCAGAGCGGTAAGATGCAAAGCAGACCTGAAGAAAAATTAATTATCGTTAAATCAGTCAAAGTTACTTACCAGCACCGTCGCGTTTGCTTCATCAAATGCTTCTTTCATCGAGCGATAGCTTGGCAAAAACTTCTCTTGGCCAAAGTAGAATTTGTTCATGGTGTTGTCCGAATCTGGATAAGTTGAAGCTGCCACAGACGGAGTTGCACGGCCACACGCCCAATCGAAATCCAACATTCCCTAAATTACGACAAATAGTAACAAACTCTTTGGTGAAACATACCTGCATCGCCTTCTGTTGCTGTCCCCAAACAACCGCCGTCGTCTTTTCGTTGAGGGTGAACGAATTGGCGGCAACTTCCGCTACACTTATGGCGGTTCCGGCAAACGATTTGAGAGAAGGAGCCGAGGAGATGTTGTTCATGTAAGTCGACGTGGTATCATCGTTAAGCTCTTCCAGCGACTACTGCTTGGCGTGTTTGCACGAGATCGAACCGTCCGCCTAAAATTATCTTATTAGAAAAGCGTAATATTTTAGTTGCTAACAATTACTAAATACAAAACGCACCGATACAACAAAATTTGCATGGTTGTCTTGAACGTCTTCTGGCAAGTCATCACCCTTCAATCCAGCGCCAACAATCGCAGTCAACGGCGTCTCAGGTCCATAAACGAAGATGGGGAGATCCAAGCGTTTTCCAGCATCTTTCATCTTGCGCAAGCCTTCTTTGTGATTTGGGTCCACCTCTTCGAACGTAGATGGAGATCTTGTGGGCTTGGAGTTTCAATGCAAAGCTTCGATCGCTTGGATGATACCCTAAAAATGTATTAATGTACGAGCCAATATATTTTACCTGGAAAGTCTCTCCAACATTGGTAAAGTTGGCAATCGATCTACCCATGAAGAGCAATTTACTGAGTATTCTCCATAGTTTGCCAATTCCGCGACGCCACCAAGCTCGCAAATTGCATCACTAAAGCAATAGAATGTCCTTTAGGATTGAGAATGGTGAGTTTCAACGAGGCTCCAGTCACATCATCAAGAGAGCTGATGAATTTCTCTTCGGCCGACATTGCGAGTCCAAATGGTGCAGGGAATTCGATTGGCTCGTCGTATCGTGACATCCACTTTGTCTTGCAAAGAAACGAGGTGGTTTAGTCCACCTTCGCCGCCAGATCAAGAATGTAAATTCTAGTATCGTTCATCAATAAAAAACCATTTTACCATGCTAACAAGTTAATTAATACCCAGTGGGTTGATCTCCAAATAGGTGAAGTGATAGCTTTTGTACGCACGATATAGCTCATCGATGAACCAACCGAGTTTGCTAAAATTCAACGTTATAAAAAAACACAAAGAGATTTCTTACACGAATAGTTTCTCGTCAACTCCATGAAGTAGACTAACGATTGAAGAGATTTCAGGCACCATCGAATTCTCCACATCGACTGGAATTTCGAGCATTTGGCAATTTTCATTGACATCGCCGACATCAACACCACCTATAAAGCATATTAAAGATTTTGTAAAGCCAATAAACAAACATGAAAACAAATCGCATCATGATGTGATTTTGTCACTCATAATCGCCACCTAAAACCCTTGTTCCGGCTTATGCTCGACGAAAGTTTCGAGGGATGAAAGTGTCTAAAGAGCCACGCACGTCCTCAATCTAAAAGTGTTTATTATGGTGATGAAAATCACAAGCGCACCTCGCGTTCCTCTTCCTGCATCTTGCTGAAAACCTCCTTGATTTCGCACATGTTTTCCATAACGACCAATCCTTGTTTTCCTTGGCGCTTGATTAGTTGATCCGGCTTGATGACCATCTTCTAAAGTAAGCATATTAAAAAAGTAAATTCAAACTGCAGCTCGCTACTTTCTTATAGTACATTAGTGCAACTAAACTCGGTTAATAATCGTGTATGCTCATCATTTGTTATGACCGGTTCCCACTAATGAATGACCAAAAGATCCGCTCGATAGCTCGACGAAACCAAAACGAGAAAGGTTTCCTAGTTTGCTAATGCTTAGCTCAACGGCTAACAACACCAAGTAATATGCGCTTTAGATAGCTTATAGCTAACAACATCAACAATATACCGTATTTACTCGAATAGAAGACCGGTCTTCTATTTTTTTTCAATCACCCCTAGACCCCGTCTTTATTCGAGACCGGTCTTCTATTCAAGACGGTCTTTTATTATTGGGTTGGTGAACTGAAAACTGCGGGACTTTGAACTGAAATTTATTCAACATAAAACCATCAATTCATTCCAAATAATTTCCATTATTATTGACGATTTCTGTCTATTTTACAGGCAATTTGCGGATTCCTCTTTCGTAGCAGGATTTGGGTTTGTGTGTGAGACAAGTGTGAGACTCAAAAATGGAGGACTGGAGATGTCCCAGTTTGAGCACTTTCTTCAAAAGAACCCCATTTTGGTGTCAATGAAAAAGTTGTAGAGAATCAAAAATTAGGCTTAAAGCCAAATTGCCAAAAAGATACACTTAGTAGTTCCGCTTAAAATGCAAGTTTTGTGAAAATTCGTAAATTTGGCATTTCTTGAAAACCAGTTTTTGAATCATTCTGAAAATTTGGATGTAAGCTTAATTTTTGATTCTCTACAACTTTTCCATTGACACAAAAATGGGTTTCTTTTGAAGAAAGTGCTCAAACTGTCACATATGACAATAGCCCGCAGTTTTCAATGCACCAACCCAATATTTGCATTCACGAAAATTTTCAGGAAAATAACCAGCGTTTAAAAAAAAACTTCTTTATAGAAATTTATTCTAGCATTTAACAACAAAATTGTGCTATTGAATGAAAATATAATATTTTTACCCTATTGGGTAAATTCCCTTATTCTTTTCCCGTATTTGAGTACGGCCACTTTCGCGCAGAATAGAAAACAGGGTACCTCGAATCTAAGACCGATCTTATATTCGAGACGGTCTTCTATTTTTTTCGATCGTCCCCTAGACCCCGTCTCCTATTCGAGACGGTCTTATAATCGAGGCCGGTCTTATATTCGAGTAAATACGGTAGGTTGGCGCTTTTATTTAACGGCAGTACCACAAAGCAACTGCTTAACCCAACAATCACAAAACGTACCGAGCTCAAAGTATAGGGGAGGGAGAGGCTGCGGTTCGCCTTCTCGCACGCTTCGACGACCTCCTCAAAGTTATCTCCTCAACGAAGACGCAACATGTTCGGAGTCGAGACGAACAGAGTCACAATCTGTGGAGGAAGCAATCAAATGTAGACTTGCTTATCGATATTATCGATACAAACGGCATGCTCATGTTTGACCGTTCAGATCTCGGTTTCTAGAACAGCTATCAATCTGAAAATTGTTTCATTGGAAAGCCAAGAACGTCAGCTTTTGATTGCTATTTTATACGTCTGACTTTTAATAAGTAAACACTTCATAAACCATATCGATACTTATCGATATCAAAAGTATCGATTATCGATAAGTATTGATAAGCTTTTTTAAGGCACTCAGCTATAAGGATTTGTGTGAGATAGTAATCAAAAAGCTGAAATTCTTGGCTTTCCAATGAAACAATTTGCCAAACAATGAATCATGGCCCGGGTTTTCCATATTTTGATAAAAATGTCGATGAGGAGGAGATCGAAGGGAGTGGGACAAATGCGACCTTTTTTTTGCGCACCCGGACATTTGCGCACCTTTTTTCCGCACTTAGCCCATTAGCGCACCTTTTTCGCGTTTTAAAAAGCTCTAAAAGCTAATATTAACCAATTTTATTCCAAAAGTTGTGTTTTCTAAGTAATTTTAGGGCGTAGAATCGAAATTTTGGCATATCAGAGCTTGTGGAAGCGAACGGACGGAGTTATACAAAGAGAAAAATCAACAATTTTCTGTAATTTGACCTAGCCGTTTTGTCTTTCAAATTGGTTCCACACGCTCTGTTATGCCAAAACTTCGATTCTACGCCCTAAAATTACCTAGAAAAACAACTTTTGGAATAAAAATTGGTTAATATTAGCTTTTAGAGCTTTTTAAAACGCGAAAAAAGGTGCGCTAATGGGCTAAGTGCGGAAAAAAAGGTGCGCAAATATCCGGGTGCGCAAAAAAAAGGTCGCATTTGTCCCACTCCCGAGATCGAACGCCTATCAGATCAACTAGCAGAAATCTTGTATTTTGATGACGAAAATAATGACACCAATTGATTTTCTGTTTTTTAATTTTTATATATAAATAAATTATCAGATTTTTAAAAAATTTAAACAGATCAAGAAAAAACAAAATTATAACAAAAGTTTCCTTTGTAAACAAAGATGTTGTCAAACAAGTTTGTAAGATTATGGCGATTCATCTGAACTTTTATGCGTCTATTTTTTGTGCCCGATTATTTCTCTAAATAATTGTCAAAATTGTAAATCGATTGGTTTATTCTAGGTGGAGAAGAAACGCTTTTCATTTGGGTCCACTTAGTATGTAAGACTCATAAAGTCTTACATACTACGACGACTCAAATTTGCGGCACGACCCAAATTTGCGGCACGACTCAAATTTGCGAAAAAATTTACTCCAAAGTCAAGCAAAACGGTGCAGTTGTTCCGTTCTAGGCATTGATCGGCCGTCATTTCGATGCGATTTCAATGATCGCACGAAGTGTTCGTCGTTTGGCCATCGCAAACATTAGCATCCCATCGCAGTGGCACTTTCCCCTCTCAAATTTGCCTCTCAGCTCCAAACTCTGAAGTTTGCCATTCGTTTTAAACTTTGGGACAAGAGAGAGAGAAGTTTTATCCAACTTCTAAACGTTTTTACTCTTTTTACCTAACGTTCAACTTCTATTTTCAGCTGTTAATAATCGAGGACAAGGTCATACATTGTATAAATGCGTCTAAACATTTACAATTTTGAAAAAATATTGTTTAGAAAAAGATTCGGTTTTTTTTGATAAAGATTTTTCGAAAGTGACGCAAGATTTCCGCTTATTTTTTCTTCATACCAATGACGCTGAGTAAACAGAGATATGCCAAAAATAAAAAATAGGTTTTAAACTCGCAAAACTGATTAGTTTGTGCAAAACTGATCTAAAATTTTTGAGTAAAAGCAATTTGGATAGAAAATGGAAGACGTTTATGCAAAAACAAAAATATTAGTGCGGAAAATGGAAATGAGTTTTAGGGTCGATTTCCGTCGGTTAGTCATTTTCCGGAATAATATTTTTGACTCTTTTTGCTGCAAATTTTTTTGGGTTTTATTTTATTTTTGAAATCTTTCGCTTTATAAGGTAAAGGTTTTGCAGAAAAATAGAACAATTCTAAATTTAGTTTTTCCTTATTTCTAGATATTTTTAAATGAAAATATTGCACCAAATTAGGCTGAAAGTTTTAGAAAACCGATCGAATCGAAATTTTTCTTTGAAAATGCTGCACCAAACTAGCTGTCTACTTTTCGTAAGTTATTTAAGTTAAGTTAGTTATTTAAAAGTTAATAATTACAATCAGAACTTGAATTTACTCTTAAATAAACGATTTTCTAAAAGATCTCACTGGAAAAGCTTTCGTAATTCAGCTATCTTTGACTCGAAAGCTCCAGTTTTGTTTCACGGTCAAATTACCGTAATTGAGTTATCTTTTATGGTAAAACTACCGTAATCCAGTACCAAATAAGCTTTTCCTGGAGTTTGTTCTTTTGAACTGAGATTTTTAATCTATAAGCAACCTTTCAAGCTTCTCATCTACATCAACGTTCCACTCGAAGGCTCAACACCAACGCCAGAAACGATAACCACTGGAACAACAAAGCATTCACGCAAAGGTTTGGTTAAACGTTTGTCTATGCGCTCTAAACTAAATTTTAGAATATTCAATGCACTAGTCTAACGCAAACTAGCAATAGCGAATGAAGAGTTTTAAAATATTAGATTGGCAACTTGAAAGTTGGTACACTTTTTCGTATTTCCTAGAAAACATATTTAATTCGATTTCTCTAAATAAAAGCTACATATTATCGAATTTACGAAACGCTTAAGCAAATTTGGACAACTTTTGAAACGAATTTGAGCAGAAATACAAGTTTTTTTTGAAAATTCTTCAAACAGACATATAACTAAAGCAATTAGACAAATCGAGCTGAGAATTTGGCTATATGCCTAACTTTTTATGCTCTATCTTTTTTCTATTAACATCAAGATAGGTTTATGTGGAAGAAAGTGCTCAAATTGCTTCATCGAGTGCTCATGATTTTTGGTTTCTCAACTTCTTGCCCCCTAGAAACCTATAAAACCGAAACTTTTCTAGATCTGTCAAAAGCCTTTTTTTAGAGGATAAATGAGCCTTTTTATTGGTGAAAACTGTAGATTAATCGGTGCACTAGTTATTTCTAAAAAGTCCAATGAACAATACCAACTTTCAAGTTGCCAAGCTAATATTTAAGTACAGGGTGGCCTGCAATTATAGCGCCGCATTTCAGAGGGCCTAGATTGACCCAAATTAGGTCAATCGTTCTGTTTTTCTGGAGGTAAATCTTAAGTGTGTCTCCTGGAACGGTGCCCATTATCTAGTCAATTCAAGCTTTCAACTTTTTTATATGCCCCTTCAAAGTTAGAAGCTGAGTGTCAGTCGGCACGCCGCACATTTATGGGATCTTGCCAAAATCTCGTTGAGATTGAATACATTGAATTAATGAACGAAATCTCACATGCTCTACGCAGTTTAAGTGCAAAAATTCTTGAGAAACGTCACCAAAACTCAATTAATATGATCTGATGTTTGATTGAGAAACGCTATTTGGAGGTAAGCCTAAGCCCTGAGCCTGAGCCTAAGTCTGAGCCTGAGTAGCGACATTTGGCTCTCAACTTTGAAAAGCCATATAAAAAGTTGAAAGCTTGAATCGATTAGACAATGGGCACCGTTCCAGGAGACACACTTAAGATTTACCTCCAGAAAAACAGAACGATTGAGTTTGGGTCAATTTGGGTCAATCTAGGCCCTCTGAAGTGCGGCGCTATAATTGTGGGCCACCATGTAATTCTGATTCAGAGCCGATGAACCAGAAGTAATCGTCACTTGTTCGGATACTGAAAAATCACCCCCGTTCACCTCATCAGTGGAAATCTGTCGCCGAGAATTGGAAAAGAAACACTGACAACGCTAGAGGGAATGGCCGGGATGGGATGGGACAATCTGCAGAATATCCCAATGGCTCAAGTCTTTGATCTCAAGTTCGGCAAGTGCTCGACGACGCCCGATGGCGGGTATTTGATCCCGGATCAAATGCAGATCTCACCGATTAGAAAGATTGAGTTGAATAAGGTTTGGAAGCGATTTTGAAACCAATTTCCTCAAATTTCCAGATGGCCGACTACCACGAAGACTTCCAAACATACATTCAGTCGAATGCCGAAACGATCAATATGGATGCCGGCTTTCACTATGCGGCTTTCGGAATGTCTGGCTCTTTCAGCACAAAGAATCAGGAAACGAAGAGCAAATTTGCTGCCGAGAAATCCTCGATGTTGCTCACCACTTTAGACTATCGAGCTTACACGGCAATCATCTCACCAAGTGATTTTCATCCGGATTTCATGGAGAGACTTCAAGAGATCGCTGTCGCTTTGTTCAATGGACTTGTACATAAAGTGCACTATTTGGGTGGGTACTCTTGTCATGCTGAAGGTGCTGTAGTACTGGAAGATTTGCATTTCTTAATTCTATAGCTTAATTCGATATTAGATCTACTCGGGCACCCATTTACCCGATGGTAGATCACTTCTAACGAGGAAATGGCCTTAACTCAAAGTTGGGTATCGATCCGAAACCAAGTGGACCTTATAGAATCGACAACGGTGATTCATAATCTGCAAAAATTAGCTGCCAACTTGACCTGGATCGCGAGATAGTTAACCTAGAAGTTTTCCAACAAAACAGAAAACTTCATTGGTGCTTGGTACTCCTAGCAATAAGGGCTTCCTTAAACCAAGTCTCTGTAGTGTAGTCGGTAGAGCGGTGGCGGCTGGATTTGCGGGTCGAAGGTACGAATCCTGCCTGGATTTTTTGCTTTTTTGGGATTCAACTTTATTTTTTGATTAAACAATAACCAAGAAAAAAATATAATAAAAGGAAGTACAAATTACTCTACCCGAAAAACAACAAAACTAACATTGGTGAAGCTCAATAATCCAATGTCGAAAAAACAAGCGTCTCGAATAACAAGCACAGTAGAAAAAACCCGAGTTATTGCAACCTCTCGTAAAGCAGTTAGAAAGAATATCCTTCGGAAAGCAAGCCTGGCGTTCGGAAACTACCTGAATGTAAATTACAATATCCAGCTGAAACTCACGTAAACTTTCGCATATTTTCGAATTCAGGAGCTCCAAATTGTTTGTGGGTCATCGACAAAAGCTTTAAGAGATTGTCCCTCTCTCCTGGATTAAAATCTGTTTCATCGAAACGTCC